CAGGAGAGGCAGTGCAGAAGTGAAGCCCTTGGGATCCTGTTTCTGTTTCTTCCAGCAGAATCTCTCCCATGCAGGGATATTGTTAAATTTACTGTCTAGCAGCCAGACTGGCAAAATGTTGTAACAGGTCTTTCATGAGACAGGCAGAGAATATTTATTAAGTATTAAGCATGGGTGAATGGCATTCACTGCATATATGAAGAATCTTACATATATGATTTCCCAGTTACCATGCATGTATATGCATTTTGTGTATTAAGTTTTTCAATAAACAAATAATTATTTTAAGAAAAGACCCTTGAAATTGTTCTTGAGCCAGACAAAGAAATCAAAGTGTGCCCCAGGCAGGGTGTCCACAAGCTTGTCATCTGTCAAGAAAACCCATCCTTAACCCTCCATCCAAGGAAAAATAAGGAAACTGAAGAACAGAATGGCTGCTAAAATGGAGCATACCTCCTCTTCTCTTTCATTAGTTAGTCCTTGGTGCTGGGATTATCCAAATGATACCCCCCACACACAGTACTAAAATAACATAATGGAAATAATTGGCCATTTGTGATCTTTAAATGGCATCCCAGAATCTGCTGCCTCAGCCCAACTAACCGTTATTCAGGCCATGGAGGAAACTAAGGCAGACCTTGCTCTTCTCATGGTTGTGAATCATAATAATGGTGGGTAGAAGTGCAAAGACAGCAGCAAACTTAGAGTGCTTACTGAACAGTTGGGTAAAACTATTTCTGTAAGATTCTTGTTCCATTGTTCCATGGATTTTTACAGGGGTGGATTGCTATTTTCTATCAAAATGGACTCCATCCTTCCATGTAAAGAAGCAAGACTAAACAAACACCACTTGTGAGGGAGATTTGCATTGGAAAAACACACCCTTCTGCCTTTTGCCATGCAGCCTCATCCAGTCCCACCTCTGCATGAGTGCTCTTGACTACTTCTCACACCATCCTGCACCATGGGCACTCCTATTGTAGCACTTCCCCCCTCCCATTGTCCCTCTTCTGCCTCCATGGCCCCCCAGCTTTCTCATTTTCCCCCAAGGCCACCACCAACTCTCAACACCCCCAAACTGGCTACATTTTGGCCTTAGCTACTGTTCAGGAATGACCTTCTTCCATTCTGGTTTTCAGTAAAACTGAAGATAAAATAAAATAATCCCACCTCTACAGTCATATTATAATACTCTTCTTAGAGTTATCTGTTAATGAGCTTATGAAGGAGTGTTCCAGTAATTCACCTCCTCCTAAGTACATACAACTCCTGAACTGGTAAACCAGCCAGTTTCCCTTCCCTTTCTCCATTGTCTATTCTGTCCTGGGCAGATTATCTGACGACATTTCATGTAATGTGTTAATTGCTAAAGAAACTGTGTCAAGTGTAGAGGGTTGACAAACATGACCTCCATGGAATTAATTTGATTGGGGGGTCATATGGGAAAACATAGATTTACATCACAGATTTAACCTGTTAAAACAGCAAGGGTGGAGAATCAATGGGCTTTTGACTAACGTCATGTGGCCCTTGGCTTAATCTTACCTTCCACCCCCACCATCATCATGCAAGGGATCAGTCCAGAACTACCTGTCTCTTTTCTGCAGCCTCAGCTTTGCTAAAAGTAGGGCTACCAGATCTAGGCTGCCAAAATATGGATGATCACAGGATGGCTGCAAAGAGTCAAGAGTTTTCTGCATCTCTCTTCCTCTATGAAAGAGAAAAGAGAATGTCAATAAACAGGGATTCCGAGAGAGAATGGGCAGGTCTCCATCCACTTTTGGCTCTGGCTCTCTGCACGGCTTCTTTTGACCCCACCCACCATGCCCTTCATGGAAAAAACGCTTGCTCACTCTCCTTCGACGAGAACCGTAATGCAAAGTCAACAGAGAGGAGTCAGCAACCTCAGCAAACTGCAGTCTCAGGATTAGGGCTGGCTGGAGGATTTTTCCTCCCAGAGCTGTTGGATAAAATGGAGGACTTGGCAAAATAGCATATGGCGGTGCGGGCTACTTTGGAGGGCACAGGACAGCTGTGTCCTCCAGTGTCTTGCTGCTGCTCTCCCCTCCCCCTTATCCATTACCTTTCCACTTTTTCTGCCCAATGGTAAGGGCAGCTCTGTGATTCTGTGGGGCAGCGCTGACCTTGGCTCTAAGTATAGCTGATACTATGAAATATAGACTTGGGAGCAAAGAATGGAAAAAGAGTTCTGAAAGAGTCCAGAGGCGGTGTGTCTAACTGAGAGGGGAGCAGCCAATAGTTAAGAAAGAAGAGTCAAGTCAAGTCAATCTGGTTCCTTCTGAATGATTCTGCAATGAGTGTGTCAGTGTTTCTCAGCTTTGGCAACTTTAAGATGTGTGAGTTTCAACTCCCAGAATTCCCCAGCCAGCATGCTGAAACATGAAACACGAGAAACACTGGAGTAAGTCATTTGCTTCCAGAAACAAAGTGTCCCTGAAATTTTAAACTCTGACTGCTTGGAGAGCACATTTATTGTCAGAAGCCATTACATAAAAGATTGCTGTGTAGTCTCTTGTTTTCTTCTTCCATATCAGCAGAATGTTTGACTTTATTTCTACTTTTTTTTGGCATCTCTTGACTTTTGTGTTGAAGGTGTAACTCAATGGCTTTGCTGCAATTGGTTAGAGCAGTGTTTCTCAACCTTGACAACTTTAAGGTGCATGGACTTCAACTCTCAGAATTCCCCAGCCAGCATGGCTGGCTGAGGAATTCTGGGAATTGAAGTCCACACATCTTACAGTTGTCAAGGTTGAGAAATACTGGTAGGGGAACAAGGATCATAGAAACAAGTGGCACCTGGCCTGAAGAAGCCCCAGTACAAGTTGTTAGCTGTGGTTTTATCTATTATATTTGAACCATGCTTAATTTTTTTTTATTATACTGAAGGCAAGCATTAGATCACTTTATTTTAGCAAAGATCTTGGAGGTCCAGGTCTCGGAAATTCACCATACTTTGATTGTTGCAGTTGAGAAAGTGGGAACCTGAGAAATCAGAGAAAAGTGGGGAGGAATAAAGGAATTGATGGACGGATAGCCAGGGAAAAGGAATTTGCAGGGAAAGAGTGGGATGGGATGGGCAAAATAAAACCTAAGCGAGGAGCAGCTTTATTATCAGGGGTATCCACAGGGTAGGGTCAACAAAGTCAAAATGACCACAACAATGGGTTCAAAACTCTCTCCCCTCATAAAAACCAGACAGAACTTTGATCATGCTGTCATGGCCACCTTCTTGACATTTTTGACTCTGCCCTGTAGACACCCCTGTTTATTATGACTGTGTAATGCAGGGGATCTGATGTTTCACAGGATATAATAGGACAGGGTTTTGCCCTGATGAGATTGCAAAATAAACTTCAGTCAAGGGGACACAACTGAAGAAATGATGGAAGTGTGCACAGAGATAAGCAGAATAGCAAGCAGGCTTTTTGACCCTGAGATTTCCAGATGTGTCAGACTACAATGCTCATTATCCTTGGCCTTGCATAGCTGGAGGGTATCACATCCTTGGAAACATGTATGGCTGATTCTGTTCCCAGTAGGTGGGTAGAAGTCAGAGAAACATCCATGCTGGGTGGGCAGAAGTATTCTTGCGCCCCCTTCTGGAACTTGTCAGCATGGCACCTTTACTGTAGTGAGTAAATAGTTTAGGCCACATCACTATTATGTCTATTATTAAAAAGCCATAGACCTTATCCTTCCAAAGAAATGTTTTATTCAAAGGGAAATGGAGCCCATTTAAGAATTTAAATTAAGAAGTTGCTTTTTTATAAGCTAATAAAGATTTACAAAAAAAAAAAAAGTTGCTTCCAGTTTTTATAGCTAGGGATACAGATGTCCAAACTTACTTAGTTACATAAGTTTGTCTCTCTGTAGTAATTTCCCCCTTTCCTGGGAAAGCAAACATTTCTGGTTCTTTCATCTCTGCAAAAATTACACAATAAGAAAAGAGAGAGATGATTTCAGGTTACACTTCTGCACAAAGAGACAGAAGTCACATTTTAAGAGGTTTGACTAGCCTTCAATCCAGAGATCTGAGGAAGACTTCAGTTCCCATAAACCCTAGCTAGCATGGGAATTGAACTCCAATACTTGCAGAAAACATCCAGTTGGAGAAGGCTTAGTTAGATTTCTGGACTGCACAAGAGTGGTGCACATTTCAGAAATGATGGGGCCCACTTCACAGAGCAGGATGAGGGGACATAGCCTGATGGTCTGTTATAAACTGCATTATAGTACTGTTAGTGAACACTTTTAATGTGTCATTGTTCTCTGTGTGTGTGTGTGTGTAGAGCTATACTGTTTCCAGTATTAAAAGTCAGTTTTCTCATCCATTTCCAGTATTTAAGCATGTAATTGTGTATGAGTGTGTGTGTATGCGCGCACACATCATTAAATCTATTTTAATCCCTTTGCATGTTTTTTCACTCCTATAGCTGTGCATTCATTCTGCTTCGCTGATTTGTGTTTATTTGGAATTTATATTTTTAACTGATTTATTGTGTAATATAACACAATGTATTTTTTTTTCTAGGAAGTTATTAAATATCAAAAAGAAAGTGTGTGTTATGAATAGGTGTTTGTGTGTGTTTGTGTGTCTGTCCATAAATGGATATTGATATGCAAATGAGATAGCATGGTATGGGCACACCCAGTTTTGCTTTGGCCCCTCTCATTACTGACATGTTGCTGAAAAGGGTTCACCACATCCATCAAATATCATGGTTCCTTGAAAGATCACACATTCACTCACTCACTATGGCTGTCCTGAAGCATCTGATAGAGTCACTTCCTTTCTTTCTTGTATCATTGGTTATCCTTTTGCCACAGTCCAGGAGTTTGCAGTCTTTTTTGAGCTGAAGACTATACTTATCATTTGAGTAGCCAGCTTGAAGTTTCCCTCCAAAAAGTAGGAGTCATAAGAAGAACTGCATTTGATTTTAATAAATGGATTAAACATGATTACTTTCCAAGCAATTAATATTTCTTCCCTTCTGTGACAGCATGATATGGCCCAGAGTGGTGATGCACTTACCCAAACATATATCCTATTCTGAGAGAGGTAGAGATAATATCCTTTTTCATAGAAGTGGCTCTTTCTCACAGGAAAAACAGGCAAGGCTGCTGCTGGTAAGGGGGAAGAGAGATCTGGAGAGACATGAAATAATTTGTTGGAATTCTGGGAAGAAGGAGAAAAGGTGGCTGGTGATTCTGAGATGAACTAGGTAGTGCTGAATTGCTAAACACTGATTTATTCCAGGGCAGAGTCCAGAAAAGACATCTGAAGTGATCCAGAGGGGCTCCAAAACCCCTGAACATGCACACTGAGGGACACTTTGTTCTGACACAGATGGCTTAATGGAAAGCAGAAGCAGGAAAATTACGATCTGCTACCCCAAGAGAGACTGTCAGCCAACCTACTTAACCCCCTTACTTAACTCTAAGTAGGAAGATGTCAAGCCCCGCAGAAGGTAGTTGAGAAATAGCAATGCACACATTTAGTTAATACGGTAAGTTAAACATATATCCAGTAGAGTGATACATTACTTTAAAATGCTTGGAGGGGAATATATAAATTAAGCCTTTGCTTTATTGTTTTATTGGTACTTCACCACTGCTTATCAAGAAGGTTATAGAAAGGCAGAAACTGGAGGAAAGAAAACCTGCTTATTTAGGTGCTGTAATGAAATATTGTCTAAATTATTTCACATGCCCGAGACTGAAACTAGTAACTTGCCTTATTTGGCTTACAAAGAGAAAAAAAAATCACAAAAAGGTACTATGTGCTGGCTATTGGATCAATTCCTGTGAATTCACAAAGACCTCTTGATATATACTATCACATTATACAAATTCCAATTCAGCAGCAATTGGGAGATGATGCTGTAGAGACATCCAAAGCTTTGGGAGACATAGTTGTACATTCCTATCTTGAGACCTTGACCTGCCAGAGCAATTACCTAGAAAACTTTTGATTGGTGGGAGTTTGGTAGCTCCCAACTAACACATTTTATTAAAAGACATAAGCTTTCATGAGCTGTAGCTTACTTCACCATTAGTACTCTTTCTTTTCCTCACCCTGCCTCATCCCCTTTTCAAATCCTACATCAATTTAACCAGTCCATGCATCTAATGAAGTGCACTGTAGTTCATGAGAGCTTATGCTTTTTAATAAAATTTGTTAGCTGGAAAAGCTGCTCCCAGATTTTTTTCTGATGTTATGGCCACCATAGACTAATCCAGCTCCTTCTGTGACAGCAAACATGTATATACAACTTTCAATCTTTCCATTGCCCTCCAGTTCTCTTAGACTACAAGACCCATAACTTCCAGCCAGCAGCACCTTTTTCCACACTAGGGAGCTGCCATTACCCTATGTGGATAAAACAGTTTCCCAAGTGAAAACAGAGTCAAGAATTTCTTGCTCTCAAATGAAGCACATTTTTTAACCAGGTTAGATTGGAGATAAGAAAACATACCTTGGCTAGGCTATAGTAGGAAAAGGCAATGGAGGGGAGAGCAAGAAGTAGCAGCTTTGTATTGTTCACTCATGGGCTCTCCCTGCCTCCAAAGCAAATCTCCCAAGCTCATTTTTAGTTGGTTTTAAGAAGACCAAAAGAAGATGGTGGGAGAAAAGACTTTTCAGTAGCTGAAATTGAGTGGAGGGGGAGACTTGCCCCTCTCCATCATGGTCAGATCCAAAATAGGATTTTAAACAGAGACATACAATAATAAATAAGTTTAAGGCCATATTTTTCATTCTTCCAGATAGAAGGTTCCTAGTACTATAGTCAGAAGCCATTAGATAGATATTCATCTTTTTACTCTTCAAAGTTATTCTCTAGGAGAAAAATGATGGAAGAAGTGGTGGGAAGGTTACAAAAGTTACCCCTGTGCTGGCAACTGAAAATATTTACTGAAAGTACAGTGCTCATGTTTCAAAAAGGAATACATGTTGAGGATACAGTAATCCATGTGTTTATTAAATCACTGAAATAACAAACTTCAAAAACAGATGACTAATCAACTAACTGTTCTTCAGTTGAGTGTTTGCAATGCCACATTTTCACACTGAAACAGATCAAATATGAATAAAGAAGGGTATGTTGGAACACGTGCAGAGTACCTTTAGCATTTGAGAAGGATGGTCGGAGGACTTGGTTTCCAGGCACATCTGAAGTACTGGGAAAGGCAATTCAAGACATGAGAAATCCAGTCTTGACTCTAGATCAGTTTGCTAACTAATTTCACTGTGTTTACCCATCTTGACAGTTGATGAGCCTAGCTAGAACATCTGTGTGCTCATCATAATCTACTTCAACTTTTCCACCTAGACACACCAAACAGGTGTGGGGAGAAGGAAGCTATAAAAGGCAGCCTGGAATCTACTTGGGCTGAGGAAATACACAGGAACAATTTTCTAATGGTTGTTTCCCAGAAGCCCAGATCAGTTAGACACAATGGCCACTAATTTTTAAAGGGAATACATAGCTTCATGGAAGAGCAGGCTTAGGGTTACCAGATCAAGGATGCAAAAATCCAGGCCATTGCTAAATGGGTCTTTGCTGCCATCCAGTGGTCATTCAGAGTTTTGTAGTTCATTTAAGGTAGCCTTAATTGAACTGTCAATGGTTACTAGTCTTAAGGACTATGCAGAAGATGTGTATCTTGTGTAACAGCTGCTGGGGAGCAACAATGAAGAGCTTTTGCCCTCAGATCCATGTTTCTGGCTTCCAAAATGCATCTGGATGGCTGCTGAACTCAATGATCTCTTGGCCTGATCCAGGAAATGTCTGCTTTTCAGGGAGGGAGGCATTTATCTAATCGAGGCTCATCTGGGTTAACATCATCTTTCTTAGGCATGGAAAACAGGACAGTTCCCAAAGACTGACAGGCTGCAGAGCCCCATCAGTTTTTCCTTCCGGTATGCTAGCAGTAGCTGTGCCCTCCCATAATTACATTATGGGAAATTCATGTAGAAGAAGTTCCTTGAATGTAGAATGTTGGAAAACCACTGGAAAGAGCAAGAAAGGGCATAAAGTTAAAGGGGGGGGGGTTCTTATTACAAACCTTTACAGCAAAAGTAAACTCACAGGGCTAAATGCATGCAAATATAGACATGTGAGGCACTGAAAGATGGGATAGGGAGAAAATAAGGATACTAGATTTGGGCTGCATAATTCTTGATGACCTCATATGGCAGCAAAGAAATGGATAAAAATTTAGCTCTAGATACTACTCTAGTGGTATTTCAGATTTTTGCACCCAATATCTGGTAGCCCTAGGAAAGAAGAGAAGAAAAGCAACCACCTTCTATCCTTGCCTCCCCCCTTCAGTTCATCTTGATGAGGATCTGTTCAGAGAACAGTTTTTTCAGCTGGGCCACTTCAGCTGAAAGTGAGGCCAGCTGACTCTGCAGGGAGCTGTTCTCTGCCTGGTACCCAAGTTCTTGGGGGGCAGACACCTGGGCCCCAGGGAGTTCTGTTTCACAACCACTCTCAAATGCCAGGGTACCTGCAGAACCTCCTGTGCTTAGCTGCTCCTTCTGTGTCACCAGCCCCCTCCAAGTTCCTCCTGGTGGAGAAGGTAGGCAATGTCCAGATTGTTCTCCAGCTATCTCCTCTGACCCTACTGCCATTTTGAAGCGCAGCTTGTGGGGAAGACCTTTGATGCTCTCCCCAGAGTCATAACGGCCAACGCGGCCCAGATCAGCTCCATCAGCTGGAGCATCAGGTACTAGGCAGTGCCCCTCATACATAGTTCCTTCCTCTGTCCTGTCACGGTCCTCAAAAAAGACAGGGCTTCCCAGGTTGGAACTGCCTGGGGTGGAGAAGCCAGAGTCCTCAGAGCTGGTAGCTGACTCTGGACGGAAGGTGCAAGGGTAGCAGGGTGGCTCATGAGCAACTGGGAAGTGCTGGGGTACAGTGGCTGACCGATGGAGTTCACTGGCAAGCGCAAGTGCTGGTTGTGAAGCTTCTGCTGGATCTCGGATTAAGCCAAAGCGGAACTTGAGGGCCAGGAGTTCTGCCTTAAGGTGGGCATTCTCCTCCAGCAGTGCCAAAACCCGTCCCTCCAGGGCTAAGTCACTGACCCGCCGTTTCTCTCGAGAGCGCTTGGCTGCTTCATTGTTCTTCTTCCTCTTGTCCCAGTAACCATCATCCTTCTTCTCATCTGGGGTGAATTCTCGCTTGCGTCGGGCCATGGTTAAGGGCACCCCTTGCTCTTTCTGCTGTGCCCCCAGGCTGCCAGCTGTCCTGAGCAGGGAGTGGTTTAACAAGTCATTGACTGAGAGCAATGACACAGTCTCCTCTGCAAAACAAGACACAGCAGTCCGGAGCTCACATATAGGAGCAGAATTTGGAGGTGGTGATAGAAGCTCTGATGGAGGCTCCTCTAAAGGAAGGTCCATCTTCCCAAAGTCTGCAGGATGAAAGGAAGGAAAGCAAATCAGGGCATGTTACAGCTGGATTTCCTCAGTGTACCCACTTGGGAATGCTAGCAAGGCCAAAGAGAAGGAAGGACATGCATATACCTAGCCTGTTGTTTGGTGGCCAGGTTATTAGAGATCTCTGTAGCTCTGAATCTTGTGTATATGGATGCTCCCACAGCTTCAAGGTGCCAATCCATAAGACCACTCACTACAGGAGATTCAGAAAACCCTAACTATTTGCCACTCTCTGGTAGCTGTTTTGTAGCCCAGATTTGATATTGCTACCCACTACAGAAAGATACAGTCCCACAACATTATATATTCCTATAGCTGCACTAAGTTAACTGAACCCAGAATCATAGCAAAATATAACATTTCTAAGGTATTGCTGTTTCCATATATCTGGAAGACAGAAAGACAGTTTAAAATGTTAATATTTATTAGTCATTCCTAAGCTGCTTTTAACTGCAGAGTCCATATTCATTTATCCTCAGAATAGTCATGTAATGAGATAACTTACTATTTATGATTCATCTACAGATGGGCACCCCCCCAAGTCCTGCTGTGCTGTCTCATGGGGAGAGGTCTGGGAGGGATGAGAATGTCAGGAACGTATGCCCAGAGTATATATTCCCAGCAGGGTCACCCAAGGCGTGAAGGTTATCCCAGCTGCCTAGCTAAAGCAAACAGGCACCTACAGTATACTGAACAGCAGCGATATAGAAAGATACTGGAGGCAGATGATTACTTTAGTGACAACGGAGAAGGCATCAATTCATACTGTGTGGGAGAAGGCAATGGTAAACCACTCCTGTATTTTTACCAAGAAAACCACACAGATAGAAAATATTAAACAATTGATGACATAGTGCCAGATGATGGGCTCTTCAAGTTGGATGGTACTCAACATGTTACTGAGGAAGAGCTGAGGATCTTTTGGAGTACTAATGGTATTTATGAAGTGGCTAGATTAAAACCTTTGGGATATCTAGTTGCTGATGTTGCTATGCAGGAAAAGAAAATCCAAAACTGCAGAGACAGAATTACAGTGGGAACATGGAATGTAAGAACCATGAACACAGGGAAGCTGAAAGATGAAATGAAATTACTACAAATTAACATTTTAGGCATCAGTGAATTGAGATGGGCTGGGATTAGACACTTTAGTCAGAAGATCACACTGCTTATTACTTAGGACATGAAAAACAAAGAAGGAATGGAATTGCTTTTATAGTTAGGAAGAGCATAGCAAGAACAGTACTTGGCTACAATGCATTCAATGACTGAATAATATCAACTTTGCGGACAACCCTTTAGTATGACAATCATCCAAATTTATGCTCCAACCACTGATGCAAAAGAAGAGGAGGTTGATGACTTTTATGATCAAGTTAAATTTGAAACTGACAGAATGTGCAAGCAAGATGTGCTGCTTGTGATTGGGAACTGGAATGCCAAGGTTGGAAATACTGAGGAAAATGTAGTTGGATTGTATGGCTTAAGAAACCAAAATGAAGCAATAGGATGACTTATCCATTCCTGCCGCTCCATTGATTTCTTCATACCTAACGCTGTCTTCAAGCTGGATTGAAAGAAGATGAGTATGGTCTGAAAATTGGAGGAAGAAACATCAATAATCTGTGCTATGCTTCTATCATCGTCGTCATCATCATCAACATCATCATCATCATCTATTAAATGTATATACTCCCCGACTCCCAGCAACTCTGGGTGGTTTACAATTGTTAAAACATTGAAAACAAAGAACAATAGGAAAAAAACCCCACAAAAACAGCACAGGACAAAAAAACAATGTTGGCAAAGAAAAGAAACCTAGAGGGGAACAGAAAGGAATTAAGGGACATCAGTCATCCTCTCCAAAGGCCTGAGGGAAGAGGCAGGTCTGTAAGGCCCTTCAAAATGCCAGCAAGGTGGGAGCCATTTGAATCTCAGGGTGGGGTGGGGAACCTCATGATCCTGCTAGCTGAAAGTGCAAAGGAACTGCAAGAAGACCAAACTAATGACAAGTACAACTAGCCTTAGAATTGGTGACAATGAAGATATTGAAGTGGTAGATAGCTTCTGCCTTTTAGGATCAACCATCAACAGTAAAGGAACAAGCAGTCAAGAAATACACCACAGATTAGCACTTGGTAGAGAAGCCATGAAGGCCTTGGAAAAGATATTCAGCTGCTGTGATATGTCTATACCTACAAATATCAGAATAGTGCAAGCAATGGTATTCCCTGTGACACTCTATGGAAGTGAAAGTTGGACTTTGAAGAAGCAAGATAGAAAGAGTATTGATGCTTTTGAACTGTTGCGTTGGAGAAGATCCTGAGAATACCATGGACAGCCAAGAAAACAAGCAAATGGATCATCAAACAAATCAACCCAGAGTTCTCACTCGAGGCACAAATGACCAAGGTCAAATTATTCTACTTCGGACACATTATGCAAACAACTAGCTCTCTGGAAAAGGCTCTAATGCTAGGAAAGATAGAAGGAAAGAGAAGAAGAGAATATCTGTAGCTCAGGGTCGGAGTTCTTTGTGCTCTCTGAGCTTGGTTATTTGCTTGCAGATATTTCATTACCCAACTAGGTAACATCATCAGAACTCCTGATGATGTTACCTACTTGGGTAATGAAATGTCTGCAAACAAACAACCAAGCTCAGAGCACCAAGAACTCCACAAGAAGAGGATAACTAGAAGCAAGGTGGATGGACTCAGTTACAGTGGTGATGGGTGTATTGTTGGAAGACCTGAAGAGCCAAGTTAGGGACAGATCATCATGGAGAAAATCTATCTATCTAATCTATCTATGTTGCTAAGAGTTGACGCTGACTTGATGGTACATAATTAACAGATGGGCAACAGAGATCCTAATCCTAACCCCAATCTATTAGTTCTACTAGAAGAAACACCTAAAAATAAGATTAGGAAGCTGACCATATGCAAAACAGGCCAATCCCGCATGGTAGTATCAGGGAAATAATCCTGTTTAAGTTATGTTGTAGTTTATTGATGATATGCTGAAATAGTTTTAGCTGGAAGTGATCACTCTGCCCTATACTTGATTATTCCTGGATATTAGTGACCTGATGAATCTGAAAAAAGCTACTAACTCAAGTAGATGACATTTTCTAATCATTTCTCAGAGTAGCTGACTAGTAATGCATACACTTGCCTTGCCTTAAATACTTACTACATTTTATTTTGTTGTAACTCCAAAATAATTTTATCTTCTACCAGATACACTACGCAAAATACATTTGACTGGCCCAAGGCTACCTACTGACAGTGGGGATTTTTTTAAGCTACCTACCACAGGGATTTTTTTTTTTTAAAGAAAGGATTCTTCAATAAGAAACAAAAAACAATATTCAAACAGTATTTGTAATACAGCTAATTAGCATCTCAATTAAAGCTGTGATCAGATGGAGCATATTACCTAAATAAAACTTAGTTCATGAACAAAGGATAGTATCTTCAGCGCTGCACACCACAATAGCACTTGAAGCATACACACTAGAAGAATATGTGGCAAAACAGGGAGCAACTCCACTATAGATTCTACTGTTTACCAGCCCAGGTCCCAACAACAATTAGAAACTAAATTCATCTTCAGCCCTACCTCAGTTGAGGCCTATCTTCTCACTTTAAAAATGAGTCAGAGAACTCAAATGGCTTATTTCCTTGGTCTGCATTCCAGGCTCTGTCATAACTAGGACACACGCTACCACTTCTCCCACCCACAGCTCTCCCATTACCCAGTTTAACCGGAACATTCTGGCCCAAGAACAGGACTAGACATACTATCCTATCAAAGGAGGCAGGCTGGGCAAAAACCCAGTTCAGTTAACAAAATCACTAGAAAAACCACAGCAACTTTGCCTTCCCACTGCCATCCATACTCTTATTTACTGCTATTATGGGCTGTTTCACGTGGCACTTATCCACGTGAAAGTACTTATCCACAAGGCCTTGACCTGGCAGATCTGCAAAGCATAGCTGCAAGATGTTCCATGAACACGGAGGCGATCCATGCAAGTGATTTATAGCTTCATTCAATGATTGCTATGGTGATGCATTGCTAACGCAGACAAATGTGCAATGGCTAAATGATGCTATAAATCGTTAACCAATCACAGCTGAATTATAGTGATATTTACCAGTTCTTTTGCTAGAAGAAAACTATACCAGCATAAAAATCACTGCTGCCACTGGCTACCTCTAGCCTGCTTCAGGAACGATCCCAGCAAATGTGTTGCCTTATTTGCAGTATACAGGGAACATTTGAAATTCATGGATTCCCCAGCATTGTTCCATTCTGAGGGGATCAGTTTGGAGATCTGGTGAGTACTGGGAGAGAGCCATATATGAAAGAACTGGACTCTTCTATTGCCCAGAGCAGAATGGCCTTGGAAAACAGTGCCTGGCCTCATGGCAGGAGTGCCTGCACCAGCTTAAAGAAGACAATACAGTAGCCTGATCCCATTTCCTCAGGTCAGGCTGATTGGAACACCAAGCAAATACTTGGAGAAGTAGTTTGCACCCACAGCAAAAATACATCTGGCCTGCTTAGAAAGGAAAATACTACTTTAACACCAGAGCAGCTAAAAACAACTAACCTACCTTAAGTATGGGTTTGGAATGAGATAAAGGTGACATCATGAGGAAATGGTAATTGGTGGGGCACATTTGTGCCATGGTTGGGTGCAAGTGGAAAAAGGCCTGATGTGCACATAATATGAAGGAAAAATCCATATTCTTCTTGTGAACATTGATTCTTCTTTTTTCATGCCCTGCTTGTTGACTGCTGCTTACCCCAAGTCAGTGGAATCTGTATTATAGACAGCCATTTCTGCTGGGTATGGCTGAGATCAGTAACCCGTCTAGATGTAAATCTGTTTGGCATTAGAGAAGAGAAAAAGAGAGGCATTTTCGAGCCTTCTAAAAAATGGGGGGAGTCTTGATTTTCAGGCTACCTGTGTTGCAACTCTTGAAGGAAAAGCACCATTGCAAGATGTTTTATTCTGAAAACAGATATTGCAGTGAACAATACCCTAATCAGGGAACTACCAGAGGAACAAAACAAAACCCCCACCCCCAACAACACTGGCAGGGCATGCC